TTTAAAATATTTTCATATTACGTGAATGTTTCAGCTTTTAACGTGTCTGCTATTCACGTAGATAAATATATCATTGCGAATTAATGCATTAATGTTTCATTTCTTTCAGCATTAAGCAACTTGTCTTATTTAATTCTTATTTTTTGTATAAAATTAATTTGAAACATTCTTTCTTTTATTAAACTAATTTTCAAGCTTATATTAGCAAAAAAGATAGCAAAAAAGACGTTTTCAAAAAAAATATTAAATTTTTTAATTATAGTGATAATCTAATGATAAAAGTGTATCATTGATGCTTTTATAGCACTGCAGAAGAAAAATGAAATTTTCCTTTCTTTCGGAAAACCTGAAAAGCAAACATATTTTTTTTTGGATTAAATTTATTTTTTCTCTTAGTTTTTTTCTTTCACAGATTGGTAAGTAAACTGCAAAAGTTAAATCCGCACTGGAGCGGTGATCGATTATTTATGGAAGCAAGAAAAATTGTTGGCGCAGAAGTTCAAGCTGTCACTTATAGGTTGCTTGTTTAGTTTCATTCCTTCTAAATTATAATTAAAAAATTGTGAATAATTCAGAATTTTGAGATAAGAAAAAAAGAATTTCGGAGGTTTTTTTGAAGAAATTAAATATTTCTGTGTTTTGAAAATTTTATTTTCAATTAATTTTTTAATAAGTGCACATCATTCTCAATATGATTTTTTTCTCTTTCATTACACAAATTTTCTACTAATTATGCAAATGTTATGCTTGATTAAAGGATACAAAAATTATTGGCTATTTTTAATACTTATAGAGAATTTTTACCAAAAATTTTGGGAAATGCATTTGCGACAACGATTGGTCAGTATCGTGGATATAATGTAAGCGTTGATCCGAGTTTGGTTAATGAATTCAATTCGGCAGCTTTTCGATTTGGTCATGGAATGATTCAAGTATGCAACATCCTTTTTTTAAATTTAAATTTTAATTTTTTAGAGAAATGGAAAAGCCTGACGATATGTTGAAATGCTAAAATAACAAAAATGGTACGATCATTAATTGGGCAAATCAATGATATCAGAAATATCATTTTTTCTTATCTACTAAAATACGATTCATAAAGCTAATCATCATCCATCATGATAATTTTGCACAAATTCCTCTTATTGCTTATAATTGGATGAATTTTTTACTTTCATTTCGTTTTAAACGATCGTAGATATGTGTGATTAAAATAAATTAAAATGTATTAAAATTTTGTATAAACTTCAGGAAATTTATCTTCGCCTTAATCAACATTTTCATAATACTTCGCTCGGAAGTTTTTCATTTGTTGAAGGAACACAACATACTGATCGCTTGATATTTGGTGTAAGTCTCTGTCAAATTCTCGAATCACAATGATTTCTGTGATAAAATCAAATGAATGATAATTCTCATTGATAAGTATGTCAGGCTAATTTCATTTTACTTTATGTTATATAATTTACTAATATAAAGGAGTGATAAGCATGATTAGGATAAGTATGCTAAATTTAAAAAAAAAAATCTAATGGATAGAAATGAATAGTATTTCTTAGGGTGGTATTGATCCGATATTACGTGGTATGATGATGTTACCGGTGAAACGACCACAACGGCTTACAAAATCAGTAACAGAAAATATGTTCGGTAATACAGATTTGGGTACTATAAATATACAACGTGGTCGTGATCATGGCTTACCGTCATATACACGATTTCGAGAATTTTGTGGACTTTCACATGCCACCACTTTTGATGATGTTTGTTCTTCTATATTTTTTTTTATTCCAATTTAAAAATGTTTGCCTGTTCGATAGGTTTATAACTCAAATATTTAATTTAATATTTTTTTACTAAAATCCTTGGGCAAAACTATTCTGTCAAACATCTGCTTTTTAAATTTATATGAATTTGCAGTTAAATTGATTGCAGTATCAATTAATTCTCTGATTAACTTTAATATTTAAGATAATAACAAAAGATTTAATAGCTATTTTATTAAAAAGATGATATATTAGATTTTCTTAGAGAATTTCGACGAATAAAAGAAAACCATAGATTATATTTAATAAAGATGTGTTCGAAATGCTAATTAAATTTTGAAATTTAATTGTTGAACACTCGAATAATTTAATTAAATTCTAATCTTTATTTAATGCCTCACTGAATTTTAGCTTTCACGAGAAATTATGAATCCTGAAATACGAGTAAAACTAAAAAAACTTTACGATACACCAGGTATAATTTATTCTTGAAAAGGATGTTACTTAATTACTCGTTTAAACTTTCCCTATCATTCAGTGATAAAATTTTCATATTTTTAGAAATAAAATAAAAACTCGATCACTTTTTATTTTTGTAAAATTAAGAGTTATGTTTTCAGATAAAATAGACTTGTTTGTTGGTGGCTTATTGGAAGATCCTGTTCAGAGAGGTTTTGTTGGACCAACTTTTGCATGCATTATTGGACCACAGTTTCAAAGGCTACGTGATGGTGACCGGTGAAAAATATATTTCAAATATTTAGCACATCCTAATTTTTTAAAATTTAATGATCATAAAAAAGATGATATTTTTTTTTTGTTTATTTCTTTAAAATCTTGACATACATTAACGAGTGATATTGCATGTATTTGATATTGTTCCAGTAGCTCAGTGAGGTTAAAGGTCAACTTCCGTAATGTACGATAGCAAAATATTATTTCAGGTTCTACTATGAAAATCCAGGTATCTTCACACGAGCTCAACTAATCGAAATTCGTAAAAGTAGCTTTTCTCGTTTACTATGTGATAATGGTGATAATATCAGTAAAGCACCACGCGAAGCATTCCGAATTGGGCAAATGATGTCATGCGCACAAATACCGGAAATGGACTTAACAAAATGGAAAGAATAACAGCAAATAATAGCGACAACAAATGCTGATCTTTGTTTGAAAATATTTCGTGCTTAAATGAAATTTAAATTCTAGCTGCCGATGGAAGGAGGAAAGGTTAGCTAATTGAAATTAAAATTCAATAATATTGTATTAAATTACTTTGGAATAAATTTTCAGGCAAAAAATTACTCAAACTATTAAATTTCTTCCACTATCTTGTGAAGTTTCAAGCTAAAATTAGTTTCAAATTAGTCATTGAAAATTGATAAAACTGAATGAATTGCACATTTTTAACCTTCGAATTCTATAAGCATCAGAAATCAACTAATCAATTGATTGCTGAAAAAATTAATTTCATAATTCGGTGATACAATAAATCTCGAGGTTTTTTTAAAATTTTGTTTTGTTAATAAAATTAATTGTTAAAATATTAACCTCTTTTCATACAAATTCCTCATTTCTTTCCATTTTGATATCTCACAGATAATTGATGCTAACATTTCTATTATTGTATTTTGATCACTTTTGATTATCACTGTATTATTGTTCTTTTCAATTCTGAACTTTATAGAAGTTTAGAAAAAAGTTTAGAATTGAATGAAATTGCAAATATTTATCCATCTATTGCATCAGTATATGTCAGTATCATTGCTATCAAAAATGATTGGAGAAATTGATAAAGATCAAAATTATAGATAGATAAATCGAAGGGTAAATATTTGTATTAATGTGCTACTTGTTATGGAAATCAATAAAAGGAAAAAAATTTTATATTTGAAATTTATGAGTGACCGGTCATATTCAAATAATTAATAATTTGATTAGTTATCAAAATGCGGAGAAAAAAAAATTTCAAATTTGCTATGTTTACAATGGAACTTTGCCGTTTCTTCTTTTCATTTAAATTTTCTGTTGACAGATTTTCATATTGCTGTACTTCTATGTTAAAACTAAGAGCTAAATGAGCTGTTATTAAATAGCTAATAGATTTAAGAAAACAGCCGTAATCTTTATGCTTATTACTTTTCGAAATCGTTTAATCGTTGCTAATTACTCGCTGTATTCTGAGTCGAACTTATCATTAAAATCTTTATAATGATTAATTTTACTTTCCTTTTCTTCTTTTCTGTATACTTCTTGGAAAAAGATTAATATATTCAATATCTATGCCTAAAGTTTTATATGCAACTTTCTGCCAAAGCTAATAATTAATAAACTGATAAATAAATTCAATCGATAATCACAGCCATCATTCTGAATTTCCCATTATTATTATTATTATTAATCATTCAAAATTGGTATTGAAACCCAAACAACCGAATTCAAAGCAGTTAAGATCTAAAATGGGAACAGTTAAGATCTAAAAGAATTGATGATAAAAACTTCTATAGTAATTTATCAAAAAGTTTTCAATAAATTAACAAATTACAGAACAAATTTAACATAAAACACATGTTCAAATGTTTACTGACTAATTAAAAGACAAAAAATAAAAAATTGATAAATTTCCCGAGTGTGATGAAGTGCGGTATTTCTATGTTAAATATTGCTGATATTCGTTCACAGATTGATACAGATCGTTTAAAATAGATTGCGAATTTTTATTTCCTTAAAATAAATTTTTCAATTCAACAAACTAATTGTAATTTTAGCTGAAAAATGAATGATCTTCAAAATATTATTTTTCGTAATACAAAAAATTTAAAGCGCTCAAAAAACAAAAAAGAAGCACTAAGGCTGTCATTTGAAAAAATCATAGAGCAGAAGACAACTCTGAAAAAAAAAACTAAGTTTTTAATAAACATTTTACAACAAATCCAGTTCAGTAAAAAAAAAAAACTAATAAGCAAAAAAAGGAATTGCTAAAGCAAAAACTATAAATAAATTGAAAAATCAGCTTAAAAATTTACCTAATACATAATTCAAAAAAACAAACAACTAAAACATTACAAAATAATGGTCAATGGTTTAAAAGGAGTATTTTTTTGAAAAGATGGGAGAGAAATATTTGAAAGTTAAATCAATCTTCATTTTGTTTTCCATATCACCACTATTTACTGGCATGATCATTCACTCATAAATGGAAAAATATTTACATTATTACTTTATATCCCATGTCTCTTCAGATGGAATAAAAATTGTATTTGTATTATTTTTCATTACTTTGTTATTATTAATATTTCAATACATTTCCAGCTTAACACACATTGCAACATAAAATTAAAGATATCATTATGATATTATAGTTGATATAGTCAGAGATCAAAAAGTTTCCTAAAATTTAATTTGATAAATTCGACTTCATCATACATTTTTATTTTTAGAAATTTCTTTCTCAACTAAATTTTTTAAAATAAATTGAGATAAATAAGAATTTTGTAAATTGAGATAAATAAGAATCAAGCAATAATTATATAAAACAATGACATAAAATAATTACTACAAATATCATCAATAACCTAGTTCTTGCTTTGAAAATATATTTTAAATTATTTTAGCACTTTAATAAATCCATTTATTTATGCTTCAGAAATGCTTTGTAAGCCAAAAATAATTTGCACAACATGCATTCTTTGTTTGCAGCGTCACGCAAAACGATGGCAATACTTTATCAATTCAATTCTCTCATAAAGAGGATGTGTAACGGATGGATAAAATAAATTTTTGATTCTCTTTTATCCTAACTTAAATAATTCAAAATGTGAATGAATTATTTCTCCAGCATAATCTAAAAATTATACTAGCAAATTATGGTATAATTTTTAGATTACGTCCAGATATTACAAGTTTTTCTCAGTTTTCCTTCTTTGATTTTTAAATTTCGGATGTAACAATTGATAAAATACTGAATGAAGCTAACAATGCAAAGGCGTGAGAAGCCTACAAAAATTTCATTTCATTTTAAATCAACTTTGGATATTAGTTGAAGAATAATAAGTAGCACAAACCTGACTGATTAAAAATTTTACGAAACCATTTGCTTTAGCAATAAAAAATTTATCTAAGCTAAAATTAAATGGTATTTAAAATACATATCTTTCAATTTCACTAAATAAAATATCGCTCTGTTTTAAATTATCCGTCCCACAACCAGTCATTAACTAAAAGAAAGGTAAAAAAAATGCGATCATATGCTTTATAGCTTTTATTGTTAATTGAAATTAGATTAAAGTCATTATACAATTCAATGTATTCATGCCACATTCTAAATTCCGGTAATTCAATTCGAAAATTTACTGAAAACAAAAAAATACATTATCTGTAGACAGCAAATTTCATAATCCTTTGCATTCAGCAACCATGCCACAATTCTCATTGTTTTTCCGGATTTTTTTTTTTTGGATCGTTCCAAATACCGTAATGGGAGGGAGGACATGACTGGAAGTAAGTTTGAGAATGAATAGATTGGTAGATAATGAGTTTATGATGGGAGTTGTAAATGCTAATCGATAATACTAGCTTGACCTATAGATGAAGAGATAATCGTTGATCATAACGAAGAGTATTTCTTGACAAAAGAAAAAGCAAAGATTAGGATAGAAGTGACAAGAAATATAGTGTATAGCATAAATAATGAATGAACACAATTGTATACTTTTGATATGCAATGTCAGCAAATATTTGAGATTTGCTAATTGTTTGTATAGATTTATTCAATTCTTGTTATAGATGGATTTGCGTATTAGGAGTCGATGTAGAACTTTCTTTTCTCTTCCATTCACTTTCCATTAGCTTAGCGAATGAATCCAAAATTCGGAAGTGGTATACGTCATTAAACTATTCAACAGTTTTATATTTTTAAATATCAGGAGAGATTGTTAATATGGTTAGAGTATTATCTGTCAGATTTTTTTCTTTCTTTTATTTATTATAAAGATTCAATAAATAAAAGGAAAGAAAGTTATACTGATTTATATATGTTCAATAAATTATTTTATAAATTTGAAGAAGTTATTTTTAGGGTATGTACTACTAAACAAGTTTTATTTGTCTAGAAACTAACCCGTCATGAGCAGTACCTCGAAGGACCATGTCACGAATCGATTTGAAAGGTTTTGGTGGAAGATGTCTACCAAACGATTTTGATGATTTTAATTTTGATGTTTTATCGGAGGACGATGTTAGTTGTTCAGATTGTTCTTATTTTTTGTAGTAGTAAAAAGTCGGCGTCAAATTTATCTTCATTTCTTGTTTTTTTTTTCGTCTGATTATCTTGAAAAGGAATCGATTAGTAATCCCTTAGATTTTTAGGATGAGAGCTTACCAAGAGAAGGCCGATTGTATTAGATGTGTGAAGGCTTCATTAATTTCAGGATTTGGAGGGCGAGCAACTGAATGACAACATTGATGCAATCAATGATGAAACTTTTGGAGTGGGTGTTGACGACGATGTCTTGGATGATGACTTGGAACAATATTCAAAACAAGTAGAAGCTTTACTTTATTCTGCATTTAGAACAAATGAAATCCTTTTACTCATGTCAGAACATTATCCTTTTCTTTATGTTATGTTATAAAGTACAAATATATTATTGTAAGGAGAGAGAGAAAGTTTATTGCTACTTATTGTTAAAATACATTATGTTAAAAAGGGAAAGATAGCGCCGTATCAAGCTGTGGTAAGTTTGATTACTCTTTCATGAAATGATATAAGGGGAAACTTTTAATCAAGTTATTTTACAGACAGCGGGTTTACAGCTGGAAGATGAAACGCCAAAATGGTTTGATGGACCCACTTGTTCAGTATCCGCACCGCATCCATCTGAATTACCAACACCTCCATTTGGATTTAATGCATTTCCCACAACAAATGTATCTGCGTCTCACTGCAAAAATTTCGAGGATTTCAAGATGCAACTCGTACGTAAAATAGTATTTTCGCTGTTGTTTGATGTAAAACAAAGTTTTATGGTTCAAATAGTTTTTAAATTTGCAATTATGTTCATAATAGGTTTTTAAATTTCATAATTGCTGAGCATCGTAAAGGAAGTAGGCATAAAAAATGCGATTCACTTAGAATTTGTTAAAAAATGCTGAATTTTATAGGGGACGACTGATACGCTATGGAAAAATGTTGATTCTACAACATCATCGTTTGGTTGGAGTGGTTCAGAATTTCCAACGCTTCAGCATTCCTCTACATATGATTTCATAAATAGAACAATCCCAGATCGGACCAATTTGCTAAAGGAGAAGGTACCTTTTTAAGAAGATATTATGCTTAAGACATCTCTGGACTAATTCTTAAAGCTATTTCTGGAATTGATTCCTGAACTGATCTTGTAATAAACTTTTTTCAGAATAACATATCACCGAAAGGATGTTCTAATAAAAGTGATGGAATTCATTTGCTGGCAGCAGTACCAAAGAGTGCTCTTACTGTTGAAGAAATTGAAAGGAATCATATCATTAATGCTTGTAAACCAACAGATACAACAGCGCTACGTTTACCACCAGGTTTATTGATTTAAACTTTTTCCTATTCATCTTTCGATGTTCGAGATTTCCATTTTTTGAATATTTACGATTTTGTTTAGCAGGTGCCGTAACATTAGCTGAGTTAGAAAGTCGACTTCTTATGCAATCAACAAGCCATGTAGCAGCATCTACTCCCAATGTTGATCGATCTGCAAGTGTTTTACCACCAGACTCACAAATTCCACCCACGATCCCTCCTCCACCACCACCGCCACCACTTCAGTGCTTCCCCTTTCCAATGTTACCTCCTTTCGCCAT